TTCTCTAAAAACAACAAATCATTGTGTCAAACTGCCGGTTGAAGCTGCAGTCTCAAGTTGATAAATACTGCTTAGATGTTTCTTGTAATTTACTCTCTGATTATTTAATGGTCAATTTGATACACAAGATAAGATGGATATGTGCTATCAATGTCTATGTATGATATAATAACAATATTGCTTTATTTCAATGGTAATTTGTAGACATTTTTGGCGTCCACTAAAGCCAGTTTTGTCAATTATATCATTACTCCGATTGTTAAGGCCTATGCTATGCTTCTAGCCTTTTTTTTAATACGATTTTGATCAAGTATTTTTTACACAGGGTATATGTACAGCTGCAATAAGGGAAGTGAAAGATGAGGTTGGAGTAGGTTCTTCTGAATTTTGTCTTCATATTAAGTAAAATTATAGAATTTACAGTGGACCCATTTTTGCCATCGGGTGTGTAGCTCAGTTGGTAAAGGAGCACGATGACATTGCCCAAATACATAACAGATTCAGTGGTAAAAGTCTTTGTGGTTCTTGCATGTAAAATCATCTTTTTATGGTTGGGATATATTTATATTACCTTTTTCCACCTATATTCCAGTGGATGCCAATTGAAGAATATGTCAATCTGCACTTTGTAAAGAAGAATGAATCCTTTGATCGCATTGCTAAGATATGCATGGGAAAGAAAGATAACAAATATGTTGGGTTCACTGCCTTGCCTACATCAAACTGCTACATCCGCCAAGAAGAGCTATTTGTATTCCAATTATCAAGGACATTTGTCTGATTCTTAAATTCAATATGTATTTTATGTTTTGCTAAAGTAAGTTTGAGTGTCGAAACCGTTAAACATCTATCGGGTAAGCATTTGGGAAAATGACCTTAAGTTAAGTCCCACATTAGGTGTGTGTAGCTTTTATATTGCAGGGGGTTTATGAATTTATGTGTACATCTTATATCACTTGGATCCTGATTTTGAGTGAGATACATCGAGTATTTTTGAGGTGTCAATTTCTCTATTCATAATAAAATTTGACATCCCGCCGCATTGCGTGGGCACACAACTAGTATATATATATATATATATATATATATATATCTATTTCATTCATAGTTAGAACTTAATGTAGTGATATACAAATATTTATTTCAAATGTACTCGATTCACAATATGAATTTTTTTAGCGTGTTTGTGGAAGAAGAAAAAAACGTAAAAAAATTACATTGTGAACCTAATACATACGAAACAAACATATTGTAGACAAATATATGTTAATCAATACATTAACTAAACAAGACATAACTGAACAGGCCAAGAGGGCATCACATAATAGGACTGGATGAGACTGGACTGTACATGACAAATGTCTGCCTCGTATTTGGTACGACTTAGACTGCAAAGGACAGAACAAGACAAGTTGTCCGTAAATGTTATTTAATAATCTTACATATCATATAATAATTGTAAAGGACACATGTAAAGTAAATATTTAAATAATTTAATTTATAAATATTTTTACACAATGTAGTCGATTGTGGTGGCGGAGTTGGACGTGGCAGGGAGTGGTATGGTAGCCAATGATGGTGGTGGGGTTGGACGTGGTGGTGGGGTTGGACGTGGCGGTGGCCAACGGTGCTAGTGGTGATTGGTGGCCGAAGGTGGCGGTGGGCAGCGGTAGCCGATGGCTGGTGCTGGTGGTTATGTTGGAGATGGAGGTGGAGGTGCCTCGTGGTGGTAGTAATGGTGGCAATGGACGATGATGGTTGGTGGGCAACGACGGTTGTAGTGGTGGTGGTCGATGGAAGAGGAGGTAGAGGTGGCCGACAGTGACTACCAATGGCCGCTGGTGGTGGTTGCGGTTGCTACTAACGGTGGTGACCATTAAAACAATTATCATATTAATGGTATATATTGAATGAGGTTAGATTAGTAATATTTTAGTTTCTGTCATATTATTGTCCCATTTTGTTTCACCTACCTTTTTTTTGTCTCATACTGTTCCACCTTGTCCCAATTCCATGTTGCACCACAATGAGTTTTGTTCCTTCTTGTCTTGTCTCGTCCTATATACCAAATGCAGTTCAAATAATATATTTAAATAATAATAATAAAATCATATGAAAGAAATCTTTAAGGTGAAATTATAATATAAATCTTTACAATAATATAAAGTATTTGACAAAAACTATTAAAAACCATTTTTATGCACTATGTACTGTTTATCGATTCATATTATATAAAATTCAAGATTACAAGTAAATTGTGCGTAAATACAATTAATTAAAGGTCCATGTTTGAATTCGTGTAACTAATTACAGATAAACATAATCAAATAGAGGATAAAACATCCCATTTTAAATATAAAAAAAATTAAAATATAGTCAGGATAATCATTGAGTTCTACAAAATACTTAATTATTATATTTATAAAAATTATATTATTAAACCAAAAATTAAAAATACATAAAAAAAATTACACAAAAAGATAAGAAATTTTAAATTGTTAATTTGATACTAATATCAATATATATATATATATATATATATATATTTCAAATTTTCATGATATCTTCATATTTATATTTATTTAAGAATAAAAATATTATCATTTTTTAAGAACACATGAAATCATATTATAACATCGACTAAAAAACATTAAAATTAGGGGTGTTCCAAAAAACCATTGGACCGCTCAAACCGGCCGAACCAAGTCAAACCGGACTGATTTTGGCGGTTTGAGCGATCTGCTCTGGTTTGAAAAATAGCAAAACCGGGCGGTCCGGTCTGGTTTACGGTCTGGAACTTTTTTTAGGAGGTTTGGACCAAACTGGCCTCCAAACATATTTATTTATTTATTATTTTAGTATTACCAATCTCAAGTTTTTTTAACTTATAGGCTATGATCCAAATATACCCCTAAGCCCAACATAAAACCTAACATCTAACATAATCAAATTCAAATGAATCGCCGCCTAAAAATCCCTAAACCGATCAAAATAATTACACATTTGACATTGACGGTCTCCAAATTTTGAAATCCCTCAAAAACTCTACAAATCTATCGATCTTTCCTAATTCATGGTTTGATCTCGGCGCACATCATCAAGACATGAACCAAGTGATTCAACCAACTAAGATTTGTCTTCTATTTTGTTTAGTCAAGAATTGAAGGTTGTGAAGTCGCGAATTTTGTTATTCAATACTCATAGATGAATTGTAACTTTATTAATTTGTTTATTTTTTAATCTGTATTATATATTTATTTGTTTGGACTTTGAATTGTTTGGATTTTGCACTCAAAAGTTGTTTAATCAGGCCCGTTCCTGACAGTTTTTAGGCCCCGGGCGATTTGTAAAAAAGGGCTCTCGATAAGTACGATAAATTTTCAATATATTGTTTTTATCATCAGAAATAATATTTAATTCATATAAAACCGTTTTTCCGAGTATTCCAGGATGCAAAATCAATCATTACTCATTTGTAAATTAATATTATCTACTAGAACATTTTTATGTAGTATCAGTAATTTGTTTCATCATCAAAAACATTCTATAATATACTTTTGGTACATAGAATGACATCATTTGAGGTCACAAAGTCAATTATTCTGATTTCCGAGTGACACTATGTAAATCAATGTAAATAGATTGGTTTTCCATGTCATCTCATGTTAATGTTTTTTAACATCATTTTAAACTTTTATATTATGTTTTCGAATTTGGAAAGGAAAGAAAAGAATGAGAAAGGAAAAGAAAAATAAAAGAAAGGAGGATTTTTTTTTTTTAATAGAGAAGAAAGCGGGAAAAAAATAATGAAATAAAAATAAATTTTTATACAAGTTTTTTCCTTTCCCTAAAAAAATCTCGAGAACAGAATATTTTTCTTCTTCTATTACTTTCCTCACTTTCCTACGTAAAAGAAGATTCAAGAACATATGGTTAGGGTTAAAATAAACTTTTCTGTAATCATCGATTGTATAAATTAAAAAACTCATGTTGGTGATAGTTTAAGATTTTATTATTCTTTTAGAGATAGAATAGTACATATGATTTATACACTCAATATTAGATAATAAAAAAACAACTATGAAAAACCATTATAGTTTTATTATTCTAAATATAGATATAAGTTGTACCATCTTATATGGTTGGTAATTCTTCCAAAAGATGGAGGTTTTTATTAACTAATAACAAGAAAATCTATCATATTCTAATATAAAAGTAGAATTCACGCGAGAATGGAACAATCAAAATAGTCACCGGGAGATAAATTATAGAGAATATATCAAAGTTTTTGAAGCAAGTAGTTTTAGACGTCGGTTTTAGATAAAAAAAAAAAACTTAGAAAATCATTAATTAATATTATATAATGAACGACAAATTAACCTTTTTATGTATTTTTTTCCTCCAATATATTTAATTCATACATGTTTGGGTTTTTAATAGTTGATGAAATATCCAAATATTTTCTTGTCATATTAGATACTACTTTTTTATGTGTCTTCTATTACTAATTTCTTTGAACTACTATTATATATATTAAAAAATTTGAACCCCTAATTTTTATGGGTCCTGAATGTACGCCCGGCCCGCCCTCCCCCAGGGACGACCCTGTGTTTAATTATTACATTTATTTGTTTAGATATTTTGTTTTGTTAAATGAATATTTAATCTAAAATTCTGAATTATATATGTTTTTTAAGTCTAATATTTAAAGTCCATTAAAGGTCCAAACCGTCTAAACCGGTCAGATCTGACCATCTTTTCGTGGTCTGGTTTGACCGGTCTGGTCACTTGATGTCAAACTGTTTGGTTTGAAAATTTTATAAACCGTTATTATGATTTGGTTTGTAGTTTGAAAGGTTAAACCGACCAAACCAGACCTCAAACACGCCTGATTAAAATTGAGATGTATTTTCCTCTCTTGACTTCCCGTCCGAGTCCAAACTTAGCTTCCAAGCAAAAGATGGTGGACCAGTGCCTCTATAAAGGAAACCCCAAATCACAATTCATATTCACACCTTCAATCCCTCATCCATCCCTCAAGATTCTAACCCTAATCGTAAATTTCACATCTTGATCGCGTTGATTTTGATTACTCCGATCCCTCGAAGGCTTCATTAGCTGTTTCAAGATACGTTCAATCAACAGGTTTGATAGCTTATCGCGGCTACGATCAATATATTTCTCGATCTTTGTTACCCTAGGACTTTTCCTGTTTTAAATATATACATGTATCTCGATCAAATTGTCGACCTTCTGTTCTTCATGGGACTGCGACAAATGATTGGATCTGATTCTCACGATTCAAGATGGTGGTCCAAATGTCCAATAGATTGAGGATTTTTCCGTTAGGGTTTTTGTTTATTTACGTGTTATGTGTTGATTCTTCTGATCTTTTAGGGTTGGGTATGGATTGGGTTTGATTCGTTATTAGATTATATTTGAAACTGTAACTTGAAAGCATCTATGGAGGCTTGTGATGAATGATCGGCTTTCTGGAACAAATGGGTTCTGTCATCGATGTTGTTTGGGACCCTAATGGATGCAATGATCAACAATTTTCTGACTTCGAATTCGAAACATCGTTCATGAGTCATGAGGGTTATGATCATGGGAAGGACTCTTGGATCGAGGTTAATTCGGTTACTGTTGTGGTTATCTTCTCGAAGAGAAGGAATCTGTTCGATAAGAGAACTAATCATCAGTGTCTATTTTATTTAGTATGTCAAAGAAAGCGGATAAAAGATTCTCCGTGAAGACAGATGTATCTCTTTTCAAGAGGCTTGGAAAAGGAAATCAAGAAAATATTGCAAGAAATCATCAAGTGCAAACTGCAGTCTGCAAATATTGGTTGGAAGGAAGATGCACCAGAAATCCATGCAAATTTTTGCACTCACAACCAGCTAAAACTTCATCCAAACAATCAAAGTATACTTGGAAGAATCCCGTTTCTTTTAAATCTGAGAATTCACCGCCCATTGAGAATGCTCAACGAACCATTTTGAAGAACAAACTGGACTGTTGCCAAAATCAGAGTAAAAGTACCCTGAAGACCCAACAAAAGTTGACCGAAGTAAATGTTGGTCAAAGTAAAAGCATCCCAAAGATCCAGCAGAAGAAGCATAAGTTGTGTAATTACTGGGTGACTGAGAGCTGCAAAAAGGGCGATAAGTGTGAAAACTTGCATTCATGGTTCAGTGGTAATGGGCTCTCAATGGTGTCTCGGTTGGAAGGGCATACTAAGGTAAATGCATGCCAAGTTTTGTCATTTTTCTTCGTTCCGTTCTAGATTATGAACTTGTTTATTTATCAAAGTTTTTTATTCAGGCCGTAACTGGGATTGCGTTGCCATCTGGATCCAACAAGCTTTATTGTGGTAGCAAGGACAAATCTTTGCGAGTTTGGGATTGTAATAGTGGACAGGTTTGTTTGATTTGCTTAAATCGTTTAGCCTCGTGGAATTTCACAAAAGTAGTCATTGTAAGAGCCCACATCAGTTGGGGAGGGGAACAAAAGTTGTCTTTATTAGAGACTGTATCAGATGCGATTTATAAACCGTGAGTCGACGATATCTGGTACGGTTAGTACATCCCGCTCTACTTTTTGGAGTAGAGGTCAGGTTTGCATACATCCCACCCCCAAACCCCATATATGAGGGGGATATATTGTGTTAGTTTGGTTTAGCCTTGTGAAATATATTTTTCGTGCTCATATGACTGACTTATCATGATATTGGTACTATCTTTTTGTGTTGGTCATGAAAACTGTTGCTCTACTCTTTGGAGTAGGGGTCACATTTGCTTACATCCCACCACCAAACACCACCTCTGAGTGGGATTTACTGCGTTAGTTTGGTTTAGGCTTGTGATATTTTTGGTGCTCATATGATGACTTATCATGATGGTGATACTATCTTTTTTATGTTGGTCAGTGTGGGGCGGTTCTTGACTTTGATGACGAGTGTGCGACTTTGGTCAATGAAGGTCCGTGGATTTTTGTTGGGCTGCGAGATATGATTAAGGTAGATCCACATGCTGATGGATGATTTTGAAACGTATATCGTATTTTATTGCAAAGTATCTAGTAGCCGTTGGTGCCAAATCTTGTTAACTATATGGGTTTATACTTGTGATACTCTAGGCTTGGAACCTCAACACACAGCATGAACTCGTCATTCGAGGAAATGGTGGTCAAGTTAACGCAATTACTATGTTTGAAGACATTCTTTTTGCTGGAATGGAGGTAAACAAACGCCTAACCGTATTGATGTGATCGTTGTCTTCAGTTTGTTTTTTTTGTTAAGTCATCTCCTTTCTTCAAATTCTTCAAAGGAAAAACTCGAGAAACGTCTATGTACCCCCCACCTCCGAGTGGGATTTCAGTGCTTGTGTGGTTCGGTTGGTGTAGAAGTTGATATTAATATGTATTTGTTTTTTTTTTCTTGATGCAGGATGGTACTGTATTGTCTTGGAAATCTACTTCAGAAACCAGTTTCTCCGGAGAACCAACATCTTTGGTGGGTCACACCAAATCCGTACTTTCGCTTATTGTTGGAGCTAAAAGGCTCTTCTCGGGTTCTGCCGACCAAACTATACGAGTATGTTTTGCTTCAATCGTTATATTTTGATGATCTTTTCTTTAAAGATTCATGCATACTTGATTACACACAAACACAACTTCAATATGCCACAGTATGATATATATATATATATATATATATATATATATAGGGTTTATTTCAAATACAACCTATCGCATTTGTACAACCAATACAACCCAATAAATTGAAATATTTATGGAAATGATTAGAGTTCATTTATTATTATTTAAATATTTATGGAAGATGAATACGGTTCATTAATTATGATTAATACTTTATATTAGAAAATAATCAAAACCTCTATAAAATCACATATTAATCAAATGAAATGGACGGTTGAGATTAGGTTGTATTGGTTGCACAAATGACAAGGGTTGTATAATAACCAACCTCTCTATATATATATATATATATATATAGAGGATTTGGGTGTTCGCATCAAATTGAGATTTTACCGTTTTCAAATGGCCTTTTTATTTATTATTTAACGTAAATGAGTGAAGCTTGGGGTTTGTCGGGACCAATGCCACGAGCTTCTGGAATACAATTGGATCTTAGTAAAATTGCTATGCTTAGTGTGTGACTCGTTGATTTTTTCTCAAGTTGGGTTTTTGAGCCCTTTTTCTGATTGTGGTTCGACTTCTTTCACAGGTGTGGGATGCTGAATCTCTAGAGTGTGTGCATGTTTTAAATGGGCATACGGATGATGTAACAACGGTTCTATGTTGGGATCATTATTTGTTGTCGGGTTCCTTGGATAAAAAGATTAAGGTTTGGGCTGCAACCGGAAGTGGCAACATTGAGGAAGTTTACGAACATGATGTGGATGATGTAAGTAGTTAACGTCACATACATTTGTTTTTATGGGTCTAACCTTTTACCAGGGGTCCTCATGAAAACGGTTACTCTACTCTTTGGGGTAGGGGATTAGTCTACGTGTATTTGACCCTGTACCCCAGCCTCGGGATGGGTATACAGAGTTTGATAGTTATGTTTATGACCTTTCTCTCTCATCCCGTCAAATAAATGGTTTCTTTTGTCGATTGTTGCAGGGTGTTCTTGCTTTTTGTGGGATGCATGATGCAGAAGCGAAGCCGATCTTGCTATGTTCATGCAAAGACAATGGTGTCTGCTTATACGATCTGCCCTCGTAAGTCTTCTTGCCTATATATGTGTGTGTATATATATATATATATATATATATATATATATATATTATATGGGGGAGGGTTCATCACTGTAAATTTCATCAAAACATGTATATTGATGAATATATTCACTTGTAGTTGTATTCTATCAATGAGTATATTCATCAATGAATCTACACTGAAAAATTAGTTCATTGGTTTTTAAAGTATTTGCGATTCTCATTTGAACCGAATGAGAATCGGGCTCTCTCTCTCTCTCTCTCTCTATATATATATATATATACACACACACACACACCATCTGTCCTGAAGTTTGTGAGGTGGTTCTTGACTGTAACTGGAGTCGGTAATGAAATCTACGGTTTGTTTATAGGTTTGTTGGAAGGGGTCGAGTTTTATCGACGGTGGACATTCAAACAACCCAAATAGGTCATGGGGGTCTGTTCTTTACGGGTGATGCGGCAGGGTTGGTCTCGGTTTGGAAACTACATGGAGAACCCGAATGCAAATCCAGTTAAACGCAAACGAGAATACGTTTAGTCGATAAGTTAATTCGGTTAGTTTGAAGCAAAATTTGCATCATAGCTCGAAGGAGTAAATTGTAAATTGACACAAAGGTCTGAATGAATTCAATTTACATCTTTTGACAAAGTAGGGATCTGTTTCATATCATCTTTGATTGATCCAATAATCATGTTTGTAACTGGCAACCTTCGAACCAATCCAAACTGGATCGTTTTTGGCGGTTTGAGCGGTCTAGTCCGGTCTGGTTTGTTTGCACCTTTTTTGAGCGGTCTAGCAGTGGCGGATCTAGAAATTATTATGGTTGGGGGCACGTTTAGGAGGGTCGAAAAAATTTCGAAACCGAACAATTCGTCCGAACCAAAAAAGGTTTCGAGTTTCCATTTTCAGGATTAAACTGTTCGGTTAACCGAATAAAGATAATTGATGCGGTTGAAATAAGCTAGGCATTGACTCTACAAATGCATTGATGTGGTGGAGAGTGACTTCTAAGGCTTATGTTTTAATCTTTTAGTACTCTTCTAAGGCCTATAAAACTAACCCAACATTTGACATTATCATTTGATTTGCCTACAAAATTGCCTATAAAATTAACCCAACATAAAGCATTTACCAAGTCACCAATAAGCAAGCAACAAAATCAAAGAAGTAATCAAAATTAAAGACTAGAATTTGGAAATTAGAATTTTTACCCAAATTATTTGCTTCAATCCAGTGACTCCAAAATTACCTACAAAATTAACCAACAAAATTAACCTAAAGCATTTACCAATTACCACAAAATTAAGCAACAAAATTAACCTAAAATATCTAACCTAAAGCATTTACCAATTACCACAAAATTAAGCAACAAAATTAACCTAAAATACCTAACCTAAAGCATTTACCAATTACCACAAAATTAACCAACAAAATTAACCTAAAATACCTAACCTAAAGCATTTACCAATTATCAATTACCACAAAATTAATCTAAAATACTACACATTGAAGTTGGAAATTAGAATCTTTACCCAAGAGAATTAGAGAAAAGGCCAGACCAAGAAGGAAGACGGCAGCAGCCAGTGGCCCAGCAGCACTGCAGCAGACGGCAGCAGCACACGGTGTCCGGTCCGGTGACTCACACAGGCGGCACAGGCGCACAACAGTCAGCAGGTGAGGTCGCAGGCTCGCAGTCGCAGTGATGAAGTCATGAAGAAGAAGAGAAGAACTGAAGAAGTGAGGTCAGCTGGTTGCCTGGTCAGGTCGGCGGTCGCACCGTTGAAGACTCGCAGCGGCAGCCTCGCAGGCGTGTATGCGGTAGCCACCTTGCCGGTATGTCTTCACTCCCTTCACAATCACAGTTCACTCTCCGACTCTCGTTTCTTCCTGCACTGAAGAGGGGCCTCCTACCTCATCTTGTTGGGGGCCCAATTACACCTAATCTCAAAATACAAGTAAATTTTTTTTGGGCTTTCATATAACATTTTTGTTGGGGGGCCAGGACCCCTACGCCCTCTTACTGCATCCGCCCCTGCGGTCTAGTCCGGTCTGGTTTGTTTGCACCTTTTTTGAGCGATCTAGTCCGGTCTGGTTTGTTTGCACCTTTTTTGAGCGGTCTGGACCGAACAGACCGCCAAAAAAATACACGTATATTAATTATTAACTTTATGTTATAGGTTCAACTTTATGGTACGGTTAAAAAAATTTGTTTAATTGTTTTTCGATTTGCTCAATGATTTTTAATTATAAAGAGATATTTTTTATAGCTAGAATGGTACTCGTGCAATGCTGCGAGATAAATCTCGATTTTGATGTTCAATTTTTATTGTGTCTCTATTGATATAATACAATTTTATGTGGTTTTAAGAAAACGGTGATGTTTTTATTTTTAAATGAAATATAAATTTGAAGATAATATAAAAATTTGAAAAGAAAATAGATCGATATTAATATCAAATTAACTATTTAATATTTCTTGTTTTTTTATATAACTTTTTTAATTCAATTTTTTATTATAATTCAATTTAGAATTAATAACAAAGTGATTTATTTTTGATTTAATAATATAATTTTTTATAATATAATAATGAAAAATTCTGTTAAAACTCAATAATTATCTTAATTATATTTTAGATTTTCTATATTTAAAATGAATGTTTATCCTGTATTTGATTATGTTTATCTGCAGTTAGTTACATGAATTTAAAATAGAGTTTTAATAAGGTGTACTTACGCTAAATTACTTGTAATCTTGAATTTTAAGTAATATACATCAATAAACAGTATTTCATGTATAAAATAATTTCACAAGATGATGTTGTTTTGACATTTTTCAGACCACGTAAAGGTCGACCCAATTGTAACTTGACACCATCGACTGTAACCTTACATTCCGACAATTATTGTAGCATTTCATTATTATTGTAAACATACATTAAATATGAAAGAACCGCGAAAACTTATTGTAATTTACAATATTTTACCTTAACGTCAAAAATAAATGACGCATACTAAACTATATATTACGATCGTATGTTCGCTAAGATAAATCCGACCTATCTTTAACCGTTCGATATTCCTTCTCATCGATGTTGCGGATTCAAATCAAGTATTGATCGTCCAACACAACGTCAAGGGAGCGATCTAAAACTTTATCGCCTTTTTCTTTCTGAGTTCTAAATGTTAACGAGATCCGATGATAACTCATCTAACAAATGATCAAACACCATTGACGCGATCTCGATGCCAATTTCTTGTTTATCCTCTTTGAAATCTTTCAAGTTTATGATCTTTTCGATTTCTCGAACACACATTTCTCTCGTACCCTCTATTTCCCACTCCAAAGATTCATCGGATTCACCTCTAATCCAAGATTTTGCCACCCGCAAAACCCTTGATTCGAATTCACTATCGGTTTCTAATCCCTTTTTGGTAAATAATTCATCCCTAAAGAAGTCTAGTAACAAATAATCCATGTTTGAGTTGGATTCTTCGATTGAGGTTGTGGTTTTGACCTGATTCATTAGTTCGATCGCTTTTTCTTCGACTATGAACGATTCAACGTCATCTAATTCGATGTTTTTGTTCACTAAACTATGATCTTCAGCCACAATGAGATTCTCAAACTCTTGAATTTGTTGTTTGAGCATGAAATTTCGTCCTATTGAATAAGAAAATCGTTGATCAATATTGATTTCTAAGAAACAAAGAGTAAGAAATTATAGGAATTGGATGATGTATGAAGAACACGTACTGTCCATGTTCGCGAGGATTTGATGGAAGGAAGAGAAGGTTTCTTCATGTTCTTGTGCAAAATCAAGGACTGAAATTGGGCTAAATTGTTCCTCTTCTTCTTCGCGTACGATGTGATCCTGTATTACGATCCAGATATGATCATAAGCCCCAAATTTTATCAACAAAATTTCATCGGAATTATAGGTAATCACCGTGTTTTACCTTTGGATCTCTGGTGTTCTGGCGGATTCTATCGCCGCTGGCTACATTGATGTGGAAATTCTTCTTATCGGCGACCTCAATATCGCCGGAAAATCCACGGCACCATACCGGTGAATCACCGACTGTAAAATCACTATCGCACCAGCTACTCCTCGGCGTTCCGGCCGATGTTGTTGTGGTGGCGGTCGTGGTAGCAGTACATCGAGAAGGAGACTCAACCGTGAAATCCGACGGCCGAGGAACGTTATTCTCCTCCAGATCCGCCAAATCACGGAACGATTTCCACCGTAATATATCCTTCACCGTCACAGAAGTCGATCTCGCCATCGTAGCCTCCGGCAAACCTCCTGATGACCCGTTTTTGTTGCTCCGTGTAGATTTTGAGAAACGGCGGGAAATGCTACGGCGCAAAATGGAGGAGGATTTGACGGAGGATACGGCGGCGTGGATGAAGACGGAGATAGTGGATTTTCGTGGCCGAGGGAACGGTAGGTTTTGGTCTTGCAGAAAATCTTTGAGCCTGCGAGGTTGAATTACGCATTGTGACTCCATGAATGCAGCAGAAACGGAAGAATTCGCCATGCAAGATGAAGTTCGATCCAGAACTCTGTGTGTTTTCAGTGTGTATGGTTGTGAGGATGATGATTAGGGTTTGGATGAGGACGAAGGTGATGCCATATTGCCGTTGATGGGGAGATATATATCTTCATGTAGAAGAAGGCGATTAGAAACTTCTAATAAAACGACAAAATTAGATCAAAAAACACATATTCATTTAAATAATAAAAAAAATCACATTATTTTAATAAATCATATTATAATCACATAATTAGTTGTAATAAGATACCATGCATGAGATATTTTTTTTTTTTTCAGTGTGGGTGTTTGAGTCAGCTTTTTATGCACCGATTAATTCTGTGGACGACCACAAATGTCTTGAAGTCGTTGCTGGTGAACTTAGGGACATTTGACTAAACACCTACCTGATAAGAAGGTTTGGTTAAACGGGCCCTTACATGGTCATAAAGTTTGGCGGTGACTGAATTTGAACCCAGATAAATTGAGATTTATGCTACATTCCCTTGAGTCATAACCAGTGTGTCACAATCCAAGTAGTTTGCATGAGATGATTTTTGGATGTGTTTATGTGGTTTGAACTTGTTATAACCATTTTGCAAAGTGTTCGGTATTTGAAAAGTTGTCACATCAATACTAAGGTGATGTTTTTTTTTTTTTTTTAAAACTCTTATTTTACCACTTATGTCTGATTCGGTCAGACATAAGGCAATTCAGACCGTTTTTTTTTTTCTTTCAGAGCTACTTATCACTTATTTTCCTCTTAAAAATTAAGTGATAACCTAGCCACTTATTTTCCTCTTAAAAATTAAGTGATAACCTAGCCACTTATTTTCCTCTTAATCCTGAAGACTATCCAGAGAACCGATTTCTACTTCATCATTCGATCGACTTCACCCTCTCAATCGAGCGACTTCACCCTCCATCGATCAACTTTACCCTCCTCACCGTCTCAATCGATCGACTTCACCCTCCATCGCCTCTGGTGGCTTCAAATCGACCCAAATCAGATCCAAGTCAAGAGGGTTTTCTTCCCTGTGGGTTTTTGCCACTGTGTGTTTTCGTTCCTGTGCAAACCAGTAGTTGTGCACATTTATCCTCGTGAATCAAGGTATTTTCGTCCCTGTAGTTTTCATCATGATGGAGATTTGCATCGAATTTAGAGATGAATTTAGGCGTTGGATTTTAGAGAAGAGGTGATGGTAGACGGTGGTTGATATTGGTGGGATGAGGGTGGAGATTGAGGATGGAAGGCTTGAATTGGAGGAGAAGGAAGGCTTAAAGGAATCTTGGCAACATAAACAGAAGTGAAATCAGTAATTATACATATTCATATGTTTTGATGGTTACAAAAGCAAACTATTGATTCAGACTTCAGACTTCAGACGTTTGTCAGTTTAGAAAAACAAACAGTTTGACTGATTCAGATTTCAGACTTCAACACCACCTCTTAAAAATCAGAAGTGAAATCAGACTTCAGCACCTCTTAAAAAACAAACGCCACCTAAAAATGGATTCTCGGGCTGTAGTAAACGCTTCGAAGCAACACTAGGGGGAAGATATTGAGTTCAGACATATCAGTTCTTAAAACCATGCAAAACAATCCTAAAGTCTAAGGTGTCATTTAGAGTTCACTTTGCTAGAATAAACAAAATTACGGTTCCTATATGTTAGCTAGGCAATCACAATTCTTTGTTATACCATCCACTGGTGTTGGCTCTCCAGTCTAATGGTAGGAAGAGCTAAATTTCAACCACAAAGGTGGTGTCTGATTGGTTTGAGTTTGAGCTCCAAAGTCAAAAGTGTATAGAGGTCTCAGGTTCAAATCCAATGAGGAATAAAATCCCATTGTGACCATGGAGGTTTAAATGCGATGACTCCAGAGTCCCCGTAAAGCAGGTAGTTGTCTTGAGGTTGGATATCCATGTTAATTAAAAAAAGAGCTAAATTCCTATTGTAATGTTCTGAGCATTGATAAATACGCTATTTTTTTGTTAAAATAATATAAAAATTGATTCGACTCTTCAATAATCATATCATCATAAAAATTTATTTCTCCGAATACTATAAACTAATTATTTTAATTTTTAACATTTTCTATTTTGAATTATAATTATATAATAAAAACAAGGTTAAAATTATCTGAAATACTAAATACACACAATAACATCACTCTTGCCCCCACCCCATCCATATGTGGGGGTTGCTGGGGGCAGGTAGGGTGGGGCGAGACAGTGGGGTGGGGCTAGAGTGGGGAAGTAGGTGGCAGGGTGGTAGCTGTGACGATTACAATATCAGGATGGTGTTAGTGGTAGGGTGGAGTAGGGCAAGGTGGGGCGGGCGGTATGGTGGGGTGGGTAGGGGTAGGTGGTAGTTGTGATAATGATAGTGTTGGGATAGTGGTTGGGTGGCTGGGGGCCTGGCAGTGAGTGGATATGACGACAACAATAGTGCCATGATGTTTAGTGGTGGGTTGGGTTGGGGTAGGGTGGGGTGCGAGTGAGTGCAGGTTGTGAAGACGACAATAGTGGTGTGGGGGTTAGGTTAGGGGCGGGGTGAAGAGGAGGGGCGGGGCGGTGGGAATGGGTGGCGGGGTGGTAGCTGTGATGACGACAATGGTGGGATAGTGGTCGGGTGGCAGGAAGTGGGTGGTTATGATGGCAACAATAATGGCATGGTGGTTAGTGGTGGTTGGAGTAGGGTGGGTGAATGACAGTTGTAACGACGACAACAATGGTGTGGTGGTGGGGGTTAGATTAGGGGCGTGACAGTAATGATAGTAGCATGATCATAGTAGGGATGGTGGTGGTAGGGGGTTAGGGATGTGGCATGACGAACAATAGTAGCATGGTCGTGGTGGGTGGTGATGAAATTCAATTCCTTCCATTATGCCAAAGAATGACGAATTCATTAATTTGTGGAATTCAATGGAATTTGAAGGATTCCATCCATTTCAAGAAATGAACCAAACAAAAGAATTTGAATTTTGTCAAAGGAATTTGTCATTTCAATTCCATCAAATTCCTTCAAATTCCACGAACCAAACGACCCCTATGTTTCTTTCATCTATTTTAAAAACAAACTTCGGTTTTTCTAAAACAAAATTACGTAAACCCTCACCCCTCTTATATAGGCATGGCAACAGGGAGGAGATGAGACGAGTTTTCTAATCCCTGGCCCCGGTTTATATGAACGGCCCTCGACAGGTACGAGGATTAATATCTCATCCCCAGTTTATTTTTTGGTCATACCCTGGTCAAACCCCAATCCTTGTTCTCGGTCAAAACCTAATTTTAAAGAATAAATAATGTATATATATATATTTATACATATATTAATAAAATTATATACCGGGTATGGGGCGGGTTGGGGAATACGCTCCCAGGCCCTGTCCCCAATCCCGGTTTGAGTCTACCGAGGATCCCCGGTCTCGAGACCTGTTTTAGCAGAACGGGTCGGGTGAGCCAGGTTCCCTACCTGGAATGGGCAAATCACTATCCCTACTCTTACAAAACTACATAATGTTCTGTGAATTATGCCGGATACCAGATATAAAGCAGTGATTTCAAATTCAGATATCGGCATTGTTATTTTCGATAAATGACAAAAATATTTATATAGAATAATGAAAAATTAAAATATTATTATAAAATGAATAAAATAGAAAGGATCCAATGATAATACATTGAATGAAGCAAAATATTTGTTTGAGAGACAAGATATGGGTTGGTCTTTGACTGTTCACAACCAGACAAAAGCCAGGAGACTCATTTTGGACCGGAGTAAAAATACCTAAATTTTATCATTATTTATATTTATATATTTATTATTATTATTTATCTAATATTTTAATGAAAAAAAGGGTCGGTGAATATCGAGCGTTTAACAACTACTAAAAGGGTACTCGCATAGTACAGCAAGATAAATCTTGATTTTAATATTTTATTTTATTATTTATCTCAGTCGATGTTATAATATGGTTTTATGTGATTTTGAAAAAACGATGATGTTTTTAATTTTAATAAAATATAAATATGAAGATATCATAAAAATTTGACAAAAATATATCGATATCAGTATGTTCAATGATTAGTTTGCTTGATTCGGCAAGTTTAAGGACTTATTTAGGGCAAATTGCATGAAAAAGTAATGTATCTTAACTTGATTATTATTTTGGGTGACGTACTTTCAAAACTTCCATTTTGGTAACTAAAATGTAAAGTTTTAAACATTTAAGTATCCGTGTAACCGGTTGAAAACTAATTTTAGATTAAAAAAAAAGACTAAGTTTAGATTAAAAAAAAATCCATGTCACTAACCACGCCAGCAAATAATACTGAGTTGAATACCACATCACTCGCCACATCAGCATGATAACCGGTTAATGCTTCAACTGGTTATTTACAAAGAAATTAGGACGTTGAATGATTAAGGAAGACCCATGATACAAAATAATTCAGAAGGTTTTAGAACCATTAAGAGGTAGACCTTTTTTTGCCAAATAAGATTCACCTCTTAACGATTCAGAGACTGTTTCTTAATGGAACTATTAAGAGGTAAACAAACAAACCCCTAACTCCCGTTAACTCCATGAGGTAATTTTGTGATTTTTCAAGGTAAAAAAGCGTCTGTCCAATTAGCAACAAAAATAAGTAGAAACATAGTTCCAATAAAAGGAACTCAATGACCATATTCTTCTCCAATTTGAGTTTTACTCGCATATCAGATAAATTCAAGGACATATTCAAAGAAATTCTTACTGTCGGTCGGAATGGTTTGTTGGTTTCAAAGGGTTACATTATCATATAGTTTATCAGTTAGGTTTTCCCAAACTAAGTTTATCAACTAACAATTTGTTTATTAGCCACCAAAGGTCTATAGCCTAGCGGTATGTGAGTCATTGGTCTCCTAGTAGTTGAAGGGTTCAAACTTCACCAAATGTGAGGATGGTGTGTGAGTTTATTTTTTCTATTTGTCATATATAAATATTATATACTTAAAAAAACTTGTTTATTACCCAACAACTGGTGTTTCAGTTAACAGCTAATTTATTAG